ATAAGCAGAAAAAGCCAGAAGTGGCGCTGTGGCTCAAGTGGTAGAGTGCTAGCCTTGAGCTGAAGAGCTGAGGATCAGCGCCCAGACTTAGAGTTCAAGCCCAGGACTCGCAAAACCAAAAACAAAAACACAACTCTGAAACTGAGCTTTAATGTTTTTTTCTCAAGTTGATTATGTCAAGTATTTAGTCACCATAACACAAAGTCTGACTTACATATCATGTGAAAGCAGGATACCAGATAAGTAAAAACATCTGACCATGATGAGAATCACTGTGGAGAAAAGCAAAGCAGGGGAGTGGAGGGTAGAGGAAAAGAGGATAGCCGAAGAATCAGGAGTACTGGGTAGAGTGAGGATAGGGTGTTTGACTGCTGGCATTCACACATTGTGGGCCTCTACTCTCCATTTTTATTCCATGTGGAGAGGGTATCCTGGAAGAGCTGGGGTGGAGGAGTGAATCTAGGAGGGAGAGTGATACAGACATATGCAGACTGGTCAGGCTGAGAAGGGAAGTGGGCAGGGTAATAGAATTGCTGCTCAGAGATCTCTGTTTCCCATGCCTGGATCATCATCAGCTACTCATCATCTGGTCTACCTGACGCTCTCTTTTCTCATGTAGTTGCTTTCCTCTATATGTTAGATTCCTTCCTCTTTCTATGTAGGGTTGAGCTGAGCTCCTACTCCTCTTTGTGGCTTCCTGGTTAAGGGTGGCAGAACAAGCAGAGACTTCCTTCCCTTCTGTCCATGCCTTGATTTCCTATTATTGGACTCCAAAACTACAGGAAGGTAAACTTTTGTTGCTTTAAGCCACCAAGTATGTGGCCATTAGTTATAACCAAGCTAGGAAATGAGGACAGTCCTCATAAACAACTTTCTTTGTAAGCTGAAGTAAATATGCATACAATAGCCTAAATCTAAAAAACGATCTTAATCATTTACCTATTTTTAAAACAGATGAGAACCATTTGCCTACATGCTAATAGATATTAAAAGAAATTAGTCATCAGGATTTATTTCATTCTGATAAGTCTATTTAACAAGAAAAGATGAAAGAGAAACATGAAGATGTGAGGGCAGAAAACAAGAAATATATAGAGAAAACCTAAGGCATAAACAACAGAAGTGAGAGATGTAAATAGGATGAATAATAAAGTAATAAAAAAGTTACACCAAATTTATACTCATTACAAAGTGCCAGAGACCTGATAACTGATTAACATGTATTCTTTCATTGTTGCTGTTTTGTTTTCTGCTGGCATTGGAGCTTGAATTCAGGGCCTGGGTATGGCACCTTAGCATTTTCTGCTCAAGGCAGAAGTTGCTCTACTACTTAAGCCACACCTTTACTTCTGGCTGTTTTGATGGTTAATTGGAATCAAGAGTCTCCCAGAGGGGCTGGGAAGGTGGCTCAATGGTAGAGTGTTTGCCTTGCATGCATGAGGCCCTGGGTTCGATTCCCAGCACCACAGAAGCAAAAAGAAAAAAGCCAGAAGCGGCACTGTGGCTCAAGTGGTAGAGCGCTAGCCTTGAGCTGAAGAGCTGAGGGACAGCACCCAGGCCCAGAGTTCAGGTCCCACAACCGGACCCCCCCCCAAAAAAAGAGTCTTACAGACTTTCCTACCTACGCTGGCTTTGAACCTCCATCATCTGATTGCAGCTTCCTGAGTAGCTAGGATTATAGGCACCAGCTACTTGTACCTGGGATAAACCTCATAACACCCCTCTTAATAGATGAGGATGAGAAGGCCCATAAATCATCTGTGCAGCTATACTACTTCATCATGTTCTAAGATGGGCAGAGAGGACAGTCACCCAGATGACTGGGGCTTTAAAGTTTGCCGTCCTAAAGTAATTCGGAGGTCATTAGGATGGTCCATTAGAAAGTCTCCTAGCCAGCAGAGGAATGTAGTTAATGTGTTTTGCTCTTGATAGGGAATTTTCATTTTAGAGTCTGTTAATTTCATCATTGCCTCAACAAATGCTTATTTGCCCTAGAAAATTCAGGCTTTTCATGAGCAAATACTGTGTAAAGTTGCATAGTGTAGAATGATTACAAGAAATAATCTGTCTACCAAATCTTTTGTCCTCTGAATTTTTCTAGACTTTGTTTGAAAAGCAAGCACAGGAGATAAGCACTACTCTTAGGAGAAATTAATGGCTAGGAACTTCAGATTCCCATTCTATATAATGTTGTGAGTTTCTATTCATTTATCATGAAAAAGTTGCTAGGTAGTGCAAGGAAGAAGAATTTCACTTAAGGGAATAGGCCAAGAATCTCATTATGGAATCAGACAATAAGCTCCTCTGGCAGATTAGAACCTCTGTAAAGATTATAAGGCAGACACAGATCAGTATGCACTGTACTTATAAACTAATGTGTTGACTTGAAACACCTCTGTACAATTACTTAAAGATAATAAAAACTGGAAAAGAATGTAAATAGGAGTAAACAAAGCCTAGTAGTTGATAAACATGAAGATGGCATTATTAATTCTTTTTACTGAACACTTACTCTATGCTTTATATATAATATCAAAAGTAACCTGGATTACAACTGCAATTTTTCAATAAAAATATTCAAAGTCAGCATCAATAATACGCAAATATAAAACAGACACATAAAATACAAATTCCAGCCGGGCGCTGGTAGCTTATGCTTATAATCCTAGCTACTCAAGAGGCTGAGATCTGAGGATCACAGTTCAAAGCCAGCCCCGGCAGGAAATTCCATAAGACTCTTATCTCCAATAAACTGCTAGAAAATCAGAAGTGGTGCTGTGGCTCAAGTGGTAGAGCATTCACCTTGAGCTGAAGCGTGCAGGGACAGGACCTAGGCCCAGAGTTCAAGCCCCACGACCGACAAAAAACAAAAACAAAAACAAAAAAACAAATTCCAAGCAGATGGATTATGAGTGGCTTGTTCCTAAACTCATACACCTGTATTTATAGCATGAACCTGCCTTTAGACTATTCTTTAAAGACTATGCGAAGATTCCACTTATAGATGGAGGCAAAGAGAGGGAAAGAATGTGAGAGTAGAATGGATAGGAATGACAGAGAGTGGTAGCAGCCACATTCAAGGACATTGACACACATAGTACTACTGAAAGCCACAGCTACTCCAGGGTCTGCTAAGTTTCAAAGCTATTGGTTTAAAAACATAGAAGACCCATGCTTCTGTCTGATTTATTTATCCCTCTTAAACAACTTGTCCATTCTCTGTGTTTTCTTCTTTCAATAGTTGGAAGTTATAAGAGGTCGCATGGTGTAAAGACTGAATTCTTATGGAAACATTTGCTGTTTCAATGACAAATATTTAATATATCAAATATTTTCAGTGTTAAATATTTAGTCTAGCAAATTGAAGAAATAGGACCCAATTAGCTTTTTTGTTTTAAAATGTCCTACAGATTAATTTCTCATTAAGAGATTGAGGATTAAAAAGACTGACATTAGTTTGAAAATTATCACACATAAACTAAATTTGCTTGTGTGTTTTTGACATCAACTCAAGTGCAGTAGATACATACAGAATCATTTCACACAACAGTATGGTAAGGGCTTAATTATAAGGGTATTGCAAAGCCAAACTAACTGTGATTTTTGAGAGGAAGGAAAAGGTTTACAAGTCCAAGAAGATCCACCCTTTCATACTTGGTAGTACATTCACAGGATACAAAAGTCAGGCATTTTGGCCAAAAAGTCAGAAAAATATTTTCTTAAGCAAAACCAAAATTAATGAGGATGAAAATAGAAAACAGGAAGGAGGAAACAAATGACTTTTTATGCTGTAAGCTAGAAATGTAACTATTTGGTGATGGGAAAAATATCAAGTCTTGGCATGGAAGAGATCCTATCTAACCTATTTCTTTACCCTGATGTTAAGGTGCAGGGGTGAATAATTTCATTCCGCAGTTCAAGGATAGCTTGCAAATGCCTGAAGCGACTTGCTTTCTAGAAACTGAAGCAGGGAAACAAACAAGTCTAATATGAATGTGTGTTTCATAGAAGGATGGGGAAAACAGCAGGAGAAAAATCAGTTTTCCTCGTCACTTTGAAGAGCTATCTCATTCCAACCATCACTCAAGCTTCTGATCCTGAAGGACCTGAGTGTTTAACAGAAGGCATTCCCACTGTTTCCTCTGCTTATTCTTTTCTTCCTAGCTCCTTCATCTCCAGTCTTTCACATGTCCAAATTGTCAGTGCATTTGCTTGGATGAGTCTCTAACTTCATCTTGTCTCTTGCCCTTGCCAGTGACTCAAGCTGGGCAAGTTGGTATCAGCTGCCTTACCAGCACTTTTGATGTGACACAATGGGGCCAAGGAAGCAGGTCATAACTTTTGGATGAAAAGGGCAGATCCTATCTCCAAGAGCAGGTCTAAAGTGGAGATAACACGTGAGAAAATCCACTTAAATTCCCTCTAGGTCTCCCTATCTTTTTTGTTTGGTCTGGTGAGCAGGGCCCGTTTGGCCAGGCTGCCCCTGAACTGGACTACACACAGAAACCACTGGGGGGGGGATTCTCTAATCTCCATTTACTTTCACAACTATCTGCATGGAAACAAAGGGAGTGAGCTAGCAGTCATAAAAACAAAAGACAAAACATAAAATGTAAACGGCCAATGTTTTCACTTGCTCGGAGATGGCCATGTTCTTACTGCTCTTCTGAGTGGAAAAGTACTGCAAGGCTTTTCCTCAGAACATCTCTGAATGCCACTCACTGGGCATGCCCTGTTTTTCTTTCACTGGACACAGGAAGATAAAGCAGACCTGATTCCCTAATATTTAGGTAGGTGTTTCCAGGCAAAAGCATGGAACAATTTGCTTTCTAAGGCCTCCAGTTTGAATTGAGGCAAAGCAACAGTGGTGAAGTATGCAGCTAAATATGGAAAACAGAAGGATTTGCTGTCTCTTGCTTTTATCACCAGTGATCAGATGGAAACGCCACACAACCCTGCACCCACCCTGCACCCCCAGAAGCAAGGATGCAGAGCCTTACCTTGAAGTTGTGTGTCTTCTCATAGTTGAAATGGTTGTCGTTGTGTGTGAGGGCAGCCCTTCGAACCAGGGAGGAGATCTGTGAACAGGCAAAAATCTTGAGAGGGGGCCAAAGAAAGACACTTTTCACCCCTACCTTCACCCCCAACGCCACAGCCAGCAGCTCTTGGCGTTTCCTGCCTGGCTTCGATTTCCGAACTATGGCACATTTTTTCTCATTTTCCAGCCACAGTTCCTGGGAGAACATAGTGCTTGGATCTCAGATCTTTCTGGTTTTCCTTTTGGATCCCGGGCAGCTCTGGACTGTCCGTGCTTTTGAGTCACACAGCTAATGTTAGACAGCAGATTTGAGGCAGCTGTGTCCTGTCTTCAGAGGCCTGAGGCATGTGACCTGAAAGGGCTGGTTTGAGTGATGGAGGAGGCTTTGCTGCTCAATAGAGATGGGCCTGCTTTGTGCTATTTCTTAAGGCTGGCATGTGCCTGGAACAATAGTGCACATTCATATGCACAGCAACCCCCCAGAAGCCATATCCACTCAAGCCACTGAAGATCCAAGGAGGCAGCAGGGGAAGGCAACATCATTGCAAAGGAAAAACCTCTTAATTATGAGCACATCTCTGTCTGTCCCTCTCTCACATACACACACACACACACACACACACACACACACACTCACACACACCCCTGGGTTACCCCTGATGTTCAAAGCTGGAAGCTGTATCCAATTATTCTGGGTTTCTGAACCCTGTCCTCAGCTGAACTCCCCAGCAGATTAGACCTTAAACCCCCAGTGATTGTTTAATCTTATAGGGATAAAGCTTCATCCCTTAAAAAAAAATCTATGCCAGTACTTGAAAGCTCCATCTTTATTCTTATGCATATATTAAATTGGAGCCACCTGAGCATGGATAAGGCCATTGTAGAAGAGCAAAGCCCTTCAGCTCTGGCTTTTACAGTTCAATCACAGAATAAGAGGCAGTATGTCTTGCTATAGGACCACGCCCATGTTTCCGCTTCTCCCTTTCCTCCCACAATTCCCTTTTATTTCCCACAAAGACAATTCTCTAACTTAAACTGCAACATCACAGTTGTTTTTCTTCCCAACAACTCTGATGCTCATTCTGTTCATCGTGCCTCAGCCTATCCAAATAGCTTTTCCTGCTTGTAAAAACATTATTCATTTGATGGCTTGCTTTTATTCCCAGATTTCTTCACTAATAAAAGTAGGGAAAGTGTAATGTCTTGAGAGTGCTCTAGATCTGTTAGTGGACTTTACTACAGCTAATGTCAGTTGGTAAGATCAAACTATGAAGAATGCAGCTGGCTGGAACATTGTGGATATGGATAGTCCATAAATTTCATTCTATGAGACATAGCTCCATAACTCATTAACGCCCTTCCAAACAACCTACCTGAGTAACAGAGGATCTGTCCTTTCCTTGTGTATGAGAAATCCATTCTCCACTATATCCTCTTGTTATCTTCAATCATAAATGGCAGCCTAGTTTTATGTTGAACATGATAGCTAATGTTGTGCCAGATGATGCACAGAATGCATTAAATGCACTTACTTAGGTAATCTTCAGCACATGGCTCCAAGGGCCAAGGTTTTATATCCCTTTTAATGGCTGAAGAGATTGAGGCTCTGAGAAGTTAAATAATGACCCCAAGGTCATGCAGAGCCAGTGCTATAATGCCAAACATCTTCAAGTAGCATCTGAGTTTCTAAACACTGTCCTATCACATCTGTCATGTTTTATCTGAAACACTGGTCAAGTCTCCCCAAATTCTTCTCCCACTATAACTCAGATCCTAACTTAGAATACAGGTGCACAATGCTTTCCTCTCTGCCTGGAATGTGCTAATGCTTCTCCATGGCTTAAGTATGTCCTAGCATTGTGGGTTTTTTTTTCATGAACTTATCCCAGTATATACACTTAACTTATTATCCTGTACAAATCTTACAAAAATCTCTGACATAGTAAACTTGCGCCCTTTATAGTTTGCTCTGTCCTGGAAAGTATTTCAACACCATTTTTACATGTTTTCATTTCACCCAAACTCCCCAACTTCACCCTTGGAAATCACAGTATTTTACCTACACTTTTCTGATACGCACCACTGCCTTATATTAGAGCAATTGGTAATAGGTCTTTCTCCCCATAGCAAGCAAACTCATTGTGACATGCCTATGCATAATTCAGTTTGTTTCCTTCCTATATGGAATCTCATAAGATCCTCTCCTTAGCAGCAGCTAAGTAAGATGCTTGGGAAGAGCTGGGCACTGAAATCCTCACTACTCAGGAGGCTGAAATCTAAGCATCATGATTTAAAGTTAGACCAGACAGAGAAGTCCATGAGACTCTTATCTCTAAGTAACCAGCCAAAAAATCTGCAAGTGGAGTTGTAGATCAAGTGATAGAATGTCAGACTTGAACAACAAAAAAAGAAGAAAACCAAATGAGTTCAAATCCCAATAACAGCATACACACACAGAATACTTGGAAAGCCTTTACATACATAGGAAGCCAGAGGTTTGGAAGAAGATGGATACAGCATGTGTCTTCCACTATATTCTCAGTTCATCATTTCCCATACACCAACTTCCAAACACCTGAACTTCCTAAGTTTTGCCCTCTGGATGGTTTCATTTGACTCCTTAGTCCTGACTTTGGCCCTGAAAGGGACTAAGCAGAGGCTTGACATACCTAGAAAAGGCTTAAGCCTGAAGGTAAAAAAAGATGGAGCTGAGAAATGAGATCTTTTTCGAAAACTTCACTGTTAACAAATTCAGAAAGACTTTTTGATGGTTGACCAGTCACAATGTTAGAAAAACTCTATAACATTAGTTTCTGATCTGATAACCTAACTCTTTAAATAACAGAGCAAAACAGGATCTCTTTTTCCTTTTTGTATATGGGTAGTTGAATACAAGAGATTTAGTATTTTCTCTTACATCTGTGCCTTTACTTATAATAAGTAATTTTTATATCTATTGGTGACAGTGATTTCTTTTTGAGATATTGATTCAATAATATTCACCCAAACACAAGACACATTCAGTCATGGGCAGGAACCACACACTGTTCTCTGGTGTCTTCCACAAGGGCTGTTAGCACTGGAATAGGCATGACAGTGAATACTGAGTGTGACCTGGTATGACCCTCTTATTACAGAAAAATGATTACAAGAATCTCTTGGTAAAATCTTCCCTCTTAGAGAACACACTCTCACACAGAGCTCTTCTTTATCTAAGCCCCTCAAGAACAGCTCCTTGGTCCCCTTTACATCTTCTACAGTGTCAAAGGCAGTATTCTCAATACACAGTGGATATGCAGTCCTTTTGCTGATGTTCTCACAGAAATTTTTACCTGGCCTACTTTTATCTATACATTCATGAAATGAAGCATATTTCTCTACATGTTTTATTTAAACCAGGGGTTTTCCTAGGGACTGCTGATATTTGAGTGAGACTATTCCTTGTTTCAGAGGCTGTTCTGTTCATTGAATAATTGCCTCTACTTACTAGATGTCAATTGAGCCCCCAACTGTGATCTCTTGGACTGTCTCCAGATATGGCCAAATGCTACCTGGAAGGCAACATTGCCTCTAGTTGAGAGTAACTGAGTTACGTTAATAACAAATATTTATAGTGCTATTACTGTGTGCTAGATATTATGCTAACCATCTTGAATATTTTGACTCAGGTAGGATTTAAAATGCTACAAGGTGAGCTCTGTTGCAGTTACCTCTGGGTTACAGATGAAGGCTTGGAAACAAAGCTCAAACCATAATAAGGTCGTACAGGTGGTAAGTGGTAGCCCTTCATTGTCACTATTAGCTACATCTAATTACCTACTGTGGTAAATACATATAACATAAAATTTACCATTATATCCATGTTCACTTATAATCTGGTTATATTTAGTATATTCACAATATACTTCAACCATTATCACTGTCTAGTTTCAGAACATTTCATCAGCTCAAATTGATCACCTGTGCCCAGAAGAAGTCACACCTTAGCCCCTTTTCTCCGTCGCCCATGGTAACCAGAATCATGGTTTTTTTTCTCTATATAAACTCATGTATTGTGAATATTTATTACCTAAGAACCACACAATATGTGATTTTTGTATGTCTGTTTCTTCCACTTTACATTAGGTTTCAAGGTTCTTTTAAGTCATCATGTTCATCATAACTTTTTCCTTTTTCCTGATGAATAGTAATTCATTGTATGGATATACAAGATTTGTTGATTCACTCAGCAGCATGTGATAGACATTTGGCCTTTTTCACTTTTGCCTATTGGAAATACTGCTACAAAAAACATACTGGTATAAGGTTTTTTTTAAAAAAAAAACATCTGTTTTTAATTTTTCTGGGTATATGTAAAATCTATCAAAGCGACCTCTCATTCCAATAATACTGATATTTAAAATTATCCAGCAGTTAAGTATCAATTACTATTCCTAGCCTATTCGTAAAGAGGCACTTTTACTCTCCCAGACTCCCCTGCAGAAGCCGGCACTACTAAAGATGCCATGGGAAGCACAGGAGACTACAAATAAATGATGTGATAAACTCAGTACTTATTTTTTTCTTATTTACAAGGGTTGGATTCTGCTTTCTATTTCCTCTAACTTCTTTCCTTCCTTTCTTTGAATAAGATCCTAAATATGCGCGTCAGATAACAAGAAGAAGAAATGATGTGAGGTGACCCAAGCCTTAGGCTGGGTTAATGAGTGAGTTGACCAGGGTAAACAGAGATTGGGCCTGTGCATTATCCAAAAAATGGTATGGGAGCAGGAGGAGGCCTGCCTGTCTACCAGCTCTGATATTAATAACCCAGTACCAGGTGGCTCTTCCCACCTGGCTTCTGGCAAGACCTCTTAGCCTCTAGGCAGAACCAACAGCTGCATTAGTAGTATTTAGTAGAACTTTCTAAAAGGTGCTTTGTTTTGTCATCAATCTACAATCCTTTCACTGACTTCAAGTGAATTGGGCACTGCATATTAAGGAGGGTTTGTTGGAAATATTTTCATAAGCCCTTGTACTGTCCTTTTCATGATTCTAACT